AAACGTCCCACCACTTGATTTCAGCTTAGGTCATGATGTCAGAGTCGTGAGATTGAGCGGCAAGTCAGCTCCGAGCTCAGCTGGGAATCTGCTTGAGATTCTCTCTCTCCCTCTGCCCCTCCCACACCTCCAAAATAAATAAATAAAGTCTTTAAAAAAAAAAGTAGTAGGCAAGAAGATCAGGGAATTGTGGAGATGGCCATTCTCCTAAGCACGAGCCATCCAAATCTTTAAGCACCCAAATCCACACTGACCCAGGTTTGGGAATTATTGTTCCAATCTGCTCTGACCTGTGCCTACTTGGTATGTTGCTTATTTTGTGCAGCTTTTACTATAGATTTATAGAATAATAGTACATAGGTAACATTTCTTGATTGTGTACTATTTGCTATCACCGCCTCTTTTTCCTTTGTTTCTTGAGAGCAATTTCTGTAGTTTTTCTTTTCTAAACTTCCTTTGAATTGCCAGGAACCTTAGACAGCCTTAGTTCTGATGCTGGCTATATTCAGGGTTGATATCCCCCTTTTCGGATTCCATATCTAGTTTGCTATCATTGCTACCAAATATAACATTTAAAAGGGTGCTGTACAAATCCAGTTACCAATTTTGCTGTGAGAGCCATTTTACGTTCTCGTTTTATTGACACAAAGAACCCGAGCTTCTTGGCTAAAGCGGCTGATATGAAATGGAAAAGGGTAAAGTGCTGAGTGAGAGTGGGAATAGTAAGTAATGAAAACTCTTCCCACAAAATTCGGAACCCCCCCCAAAAAATCAGATAGTAAAGGAAATTGAGAAATGAAAGAGTTTCCCTAAATATCCAGAAAGCAACCCCTTGAAATTGGGATTAAGCTTCAATATTTAAAAAACTTCAGGGATTTCTTTTAGCTAAATACTGGAATGCTTAGGAGAGAATCCCTTTCTGTTGTGTTTTTGTCTCCGCGGGATTCATAAGCACACATGGTAACCTGGCTGGAAAACACTAAGAGACATCTCCCCTACTGCCAACCCCCCTCCCTGACTTGCCATTCACACAGTCCAAGGCTCTTGATCACATACAGATTGCAGACCCTAAATAAATTAGGCAGATGGAACTCATACATCAAAGCCACCTCCTTGGATTCCTTTTTGGCCATTGGTGCATTTCCTCTCTCTCTTTTTTAATCAGCCTCATAAATCTGACCCTGACAAGGTTCTACCTCTCCATACCAATAGTCGGAGGTGAGATGGTAATTTGTCCTCAAGCTTTCATTTGCTTCTCCACTCGAGTGACCCTCAATGCCATGTGGCACCCATTCATTACAGGGGCTCAGGTGCGGCTGTGGGGAGGTGTGTGCCAAGTCCTGCCAACCTGGTTACTCCTTCCAGAAGCACAGGATGTTTCTCCAAGAGCTGTGCACATCAGATGATTACACTCCGCAGTGCCGGATGAAATCCTTGGCATGCTGACAGCCCTAAAGAATACAACACATTGTTATGTATTCTCCCAAGGATCTCCTTCCTGATAGCTCTTCACATACTGGCTAACGATTACCTGGACCCAAATAACTTTTTCAAGAGGGTTATCCAAATCAAGAATGGAAGGTAAAAACAGAGCTGTCCAGGATGGTGACCTCTCTGAGGTGGTGGCAGGTGCTTGCAGACCTGTGTTGATTTCACCCTTTTCAGGCACACCTGACTCAATCCTTGTCTCCTGGTCTTGAGAGTCTGAATCTGGAACCTTGACCGAGCTCATGTGGGCCAAGTTTGGATTTCTCATCATTTGTGGAGAACTTCCTTCTGACTTCTAGCAGCTGCATCTTGGCTGAGTCTTGAGTCCTTCTTGAGTCTTTACTCTTTTCTCCCTGTCCTTATAAGGAGTCTGTCTCATTTACTTCTCTCCTCCAGATGCTATCTACAGCTGGCTTAGTGTCCCCTTGTCCTGTCAGGGCTTCCTCCGCCCCCTGCACAGGGAGGGGAAGGTCCAGGCACTCCCCGTATTCTCCTAACATGATTGGTACCCATGAAATGCAATAACTATGGGCTGTCATTCCTACAGAGGCATTTCTATCTGGTCCATTTAAAGACCTTGAGAAATGGAGACACCTTATCGTACTCCTGCAGCTTATTTTGCCTATTCACAAAATAGCATTAAACCTCTTTCATGGGCTCGGGCGCCTGGGTGGCTCAGTTGGTTAAGCGACTGCCTTCGGCTCAGGTCATGATCCTGGAGTCCCGGGATCGAGTCCCGCATCGGGCTCCCTGCTCGGCAGGGAGTCTGCTTTGCCCTCTGACCCTATCCCCTCTCATGTGTTCTCTCTCATTCTCTCTCTCTCAAAAATAAATAAATAAAATCTTAAAAAAAAAAAAACCACACCTCTTTCATGGGCTCATAACAGAAGAGCCTATTGAAAGAGCATAATGGTTTCTCATACTTTTGAGTGCCCATCATTCCACCAATACTATAGATGATTATGTTTTTAGGGGCCTTATGGTAGGCCTCCGTGCTTTTCATTAGGGCACAATCCTTGGGAGTGTGATGGTCTGTACTGTAACTAGGATTATGGCTTGCAAATGTGAGCAGTAACCAAATATTCTTGGTGGAGGTGATAAATGGCAAGAGCTGCCATTCACGTCTGGAGCACTTACTGTAGGTCAGCCTTTATATTATGTCACTAAGTGTTTTATTTTCACAGTGGATTTGATTCCTATAGCAACCCTAAGAAGAATATTACTACTGGGATCCCCATTGCACAGATGAGGAAACAGAGGTTTGGAGAGGCTATGTAAATCCCTCTTCCCCATAAAAAAAAAACCTTGCTAGAACTTGAACCCAAGCCTTTCTGACTCCACATCCCAGACTCTATTATCTCTCTATGTGTCACCATAGCATATCACTGGACTGCCCTGCCTTGGCTGGGAGACATGCATTGTCTTGATGCTTGAGTGCCTACAAGGAGGCCTTGACCTGAATCTCTCAGTTCTTCTAGCTAGCTACACTTCCCTCTAAGCAATCTTATCCAGTCCTGAGAATTTAAATATCAACATACATATCACACCTATATGCTGACATCTCTAAATCTAAATCTTCGTTCCAGACTCCTTCCCTTCCTCTCAGGCTCATATAGCCAACTGAGATTTCTAAATGGCATCTCATACCTAACAAATCCAAAACAGAATTTTTACTTCTCCCCAAATATGCCCGACATCCCATACATGATACCACGGTTCAAACAGACCAGAAATGGAGGCATGGTTCTTGATTTCTCCTTTCCCTCACCTGGGCTCACAGTAATTCTGTGACTTCGACCTTTACCCACTTCTCTGTTTCTGCTGCTGTCTCTTTAGTCTAAGCTACTAATACCCCTTGTGTAGACTATTGTAATAGACTCCTGATTGGTTTCCCTGCTTTCACACCTGCCATCTCTCACTGGTTTCCCTGCTTTTGCACCTGCCATCCCCAGCCCCAATTCATTTTTCACATAGTCTTCTGAGTGACATTCAAAACATGAATTAACTCCTGCTCCTCCCTGCTTAGAACTCTTCAAAGGCTTTCTTTTGATTAAAGTCCAAATTCCATAGCATGACCTTCAAGACCACATACAATCTGGCCCTTGACTAACCCTGCCACTGAATCTCATACCACTCAAGGCCTCACTCCCAGCTCTCTAGCTATAGTGGTCTTTTTTCAGTACCTCAGTGGTACAAAGCTCTTTCATGCCTCAGGACCTTTGCCCTGGCTGTTTCCTCTACCTGGAATGTTCTCTCCCTGGCCCATAGGTGCTCAATAAATGTTAACTGAACAAATGGGAACAGTAGATTGCCTCCCCTACAAGAATAATATAAATAATATGAAAAAAATCACATCATTAATGACTTATTTAGCCATTTGTATTTATGACGTATAAATGATATGAGCTTAATATAATTAGGCTATGGGTTTTCTGAAGCATGTTTATATGTTTACGTGAATGGAGTAGGGAGGAGAAGGGAGTGGGGGGTGGGGGTAGGAGGAAACATATTTAACATGTGGTAATCATGAATCCTGTGCAGTAGATGTTGATACCCCTGTTTTTCCAAACTTAGGTGATTTGGGGAGGTTAGGTAACGGGCTAAGAGTGAGCAGGTAGGAAGCAGTTGTCTGGAGTTTACAGGTGGTCTGACTCGAGCGCCTCTGTGTGGTTCCCAGATCCTGGTGCCTTAGAGCAGACACAGTTGAGAGAGGATGTTCAAGGGTAAGAAAAAGGGGAGACACCTGGAAACACTAGCTCTTTTGCTCACGCAGGCAGCGGCTCAGGCTGCTGTGAATTGGAGAGACTGAATATCTTAGCTATATCCAAGTCTATGTTGGTTGTCAAACATGGCCTAAATGAGCTGCATTAGACCTCAACTTTGAAACCCAGCATCCACACACACAGATAAAGCAGGGAATACAGTTACGTATGGCAATTAATAAGCCACCATCTGCTAAAACCTCCCACTCCGAGTGGGATTTAACATGGTTATGGGTTTCTTTGAATGTGTGTGTGTGTGCGTTTTCCCCACCATATGTGTTTAAAGGCTCCAAAAAGGAAACAGCTTAATCCAGAAATGTGAAAAAGAATGGTGACATTCTGTGGTGTGTCACTGAAATGAGAAACTTATCAGGCACCATCTATTTTGGGGGTTTTGTGGTATTCTATGGCTCCAGGCTTTGAGTTAGTGACAAAATGGCACTGCCAAGATGATTTGCCACATACGTGGGGTAGGAGAAGAGCACTGTGGTAGGCACTGCTTCTAAAATTTACTTTTGGCTTTGCCCTGGACTGAGTTGACACACATATGGAAAATATCCCTTCTCCTCCAAGGCCTAACTGAGAAAGCATCTATTCTACTTGGCTTACCTGTGTTCTTCCCAATGGAAATGAATCCCTCTGTACTAGATTTTCCTGTGTGAGCCTCTGGGACGGCACTCATCCAGGCAATCCTTCCTTGCAGCCTCTTGCGTCTCTTTCTCCTCCACTGACCTATACCTTTCCCTGCAGGTACAGGCTGTGGTGTTTTTCATCTCCGCATAATCCAGTGGGACCTGGCACAATAACTCACTTCGAAGGTACTCAATATATGTTGTTGAATGAAAATCAAATTGTTTCAGGGAAACAATGTAGGATGGTGGCTTTAACCCAAAATACCTCAGTTATTTGTAGAAATGACATATTGTAGATTAACAACATAATTGACTCTGTCCTTATGTTAAAGGCTAAAAAAAGTGTGATTTTATTAAAAAAAAAATCCTCATTCGATAGGAAAACCAGGGCGTGGTTTTGATTAAACTGCATAGTCTAAATCCTGTGGAATCTAAATGTTTGAAATGAGCAAGGATATTGCTTTTGGTCTCAGCATTGGGGCAAAAAAGAATATTCATGGTTGGCATGGGTAGCTTAGAACAGGTATGTCAATAAATCATTGCCATAGCTCTTTGATAATTGGAGATGTGTGTGTATGTGTGTGTGTGTGCGCGCGTGCGTGCATGCACACACACACGCGCATGAACATTTTATAAGGAAATATTTAAGAACTTCCTGACTGTCAAGAGAAATACAATGAATGTCACAAAGCCCCTAGATATTATGATAAGTGTGTTTGCAGAAGACCAAAGTATTTTGATTTCTAAATATTTAAAGATGGCCAACACGTCAGTTGGGATGTTTAAATGTTATGGGAATAAAGAAGGACTCCAGAGTTATATAGCAAATTATTTTCTCCAGCCTAGAAAGGAGAGTTGGAAGCTGAAGGATGACATAATCAAAGTAACATTTGAGAAAGAGGCATTTGGCAACAGTATCCAGGATAACTGCAGGCAGGGCTGCTCCTGGAACCATGGGGGCCAAGGCGGAAGCTGTAATAACAATCCCCCGTAAGGTGATGGAGGCATAGTCATGGCAAGTGATAGAAATGTGGAGGAAGGACTGGCTATGAAAGACATTTCAAAGGAAATATCCCTATGATTTTTGTGAAGATGATAGTTCTAAAATATTGAGTCGGAGTGACTTGAATGACTTGTCAACACCAAGGAAGGAGAAGTGGGGAGGGGCAGCTGGACACAGGGAAATAGGAGTTTGCCTTTGGACACGGGGGATTCAGTAATGCGGTGAGAGACACCCCGATGGCAAGTCCCTGGCTCTATCCCTGTCATTTTCGGACATTGTGGTTCTCTGAGGGACGCGCTGGGGATATCAGATCTGGAGATGGCCAAGAGGAAACTTAAGACAGGTGAAGAACCAGCTAAGTTGGAAAACGTCGAGGTCACAGCATAGCCACAGCAGAGACATGCCACACGGCTCTGGTGGGATCTCTGATCTCCTATCGTCCTGACTCTCTGCCGGGCTAAATGCCCTCATGCGCGGACTGTATTCTGGCTTCCACCTCTGCTTCTAGTCATCTGCAAGCATTTAGCTTGTTGTCAGGCATTAGAACACTGTCAGCTTTATGATTTAAAAATGCAGAAAAAAGGGCGCCTGGGTGGCTCAGTTGGTTAAGCGACTGCCTTCGGGTCAGGTCATGATCCTGGAGTCCCGGGATTGAGTCCCACATCGGGCTCCCTGCTCAGCGGGGAGTCTGCTTCTCCCTCTGACCCTCCTCCCTCTCATGCTCTCTGTCTCTCATTCTCTCTCTCGCAAATAAATAAAATCTTAAAAAAAAAAATGCAGAAAAAAGTTCTTACTTTACGGTGGCCCCAACTATTAAAGCCTCCGAGCTTGTGAAGTAGATATATAAACCAAAGAAATATATTCTGCCTGTATCTGCCTGTATCTGCCAGTATTCTGCCAGTATCTCTGATCTAATCCTCTTGGTAAAGTTTAACTCATCCTTTGGAACTAACTTGGAAGTCTCTCAATAGCCTGCCTGCCTCCCCGGGGCAGTTAGTTTTTTCATTGACCACGTTCCCACAGCACTTTGTTCTCATTTCTGCTAGAGCCCATGGAGCAGTTGATGTGACCGTCTCTGGCCGCTAGACCCGGAACATCTTGAAGATGGGAACTATCCATTCATCTTCGCATCCCCACTCCCCTAACAGACTGGGGGGTTAGTGGGTGACACCTCGTTGTCGGAACTATCCAAAAGAGAGATTTTAGGAACATGGGTGGTGCGACGTGCAGTTGCCGTAGCAAAGCCTGTGCGCACGTCATATGTCACATCCCTGCTGATGCTGTTAATGCTGCTCTGGCAGAAGCAGTACTCTCATTACATGCTGCTGGCCCATATTTGTAATGTGTGACATTTTTTATGAAATACTATCAAGGGTAATCCATCATACAGTAAACTTTGGATTATATGCTGAGACTGGTCTTAAACATAGACATAAATGAACTTCAAAAATAATGCTGTTTTCTGAGAAGGGTATGATCAAAGAGTTGTGGCTAGGAAAATAAAGCAGAACATTATGCTCTTTAAAGTTAAACAAAAAGTGCCTGAAAAAGAGGTTTCCTTCCGTCTGTTTCAGTTGGGGGACAGGGTTCTTGTGTGAAGATAATCAGGTGGCTCTGAAATGTGGCAGGCTGTTTATGTCTGGTAGGGCATCAGTGTATGAAAATGGGGCGAGGGCTCGCCAAAGGTTCGATCACCCTTGGGACTTGCAAGGTTTGTGATCACCTTCTCTCAAGAGGTGGGTTGGTTTGTTTGTTTTTTAAATAAAAGGACACATGACAACTTGAGTGAATTTCAGATATCAACTGTAGGCTTACAGTTAAAGGTATTTCTCTCTGCATATCCATAAAGATCTAGGATTTTACACACATTATAGAGAATAAATAAAAGAAGGCTTCTAAGTCTCATCATTTTTGTGTAAATCCAGATAAGACTCCTTTGATGAGCTTAGCGTTTCCTGTTAAGGAAAAGCTTATAGGGGAGAGAAACACTAAAATTATAATTCTTTGTCTTCCTTAATTAGACTAGAGCTCCCCATAGATCTTGCTGAAGCTGTGAGAAAATCCCAGCAATAATTCACATTGTCAGGTCAGCAGATATGGGCACAGGGGTCCAATATGACGGTAGGATTTGCTTAGGTGACCTATCTGTGAACTAAACAGCTCAGAAGAAGTATACAGCCTTGTCTGGAAATATACGCTCTGAAGATGCTGAGCACAAACAGCAATGAAAATAAATCCCAGCAAGATTCTCATTCCACCTTTACAGATGTCATTCTAGGGGAAGTATATAAATCCTATTAATACCAATTGATGTGGGGCACTAATTAATAAGTCCCATTAAATCATGGAGTAATGACATTTAGCATCTAATGAACGCCTCATAATCTCTTGATCATTAATATTTTATAGCATAAGAACACAGAATTGGCATCCCTGGGCTTGTGCAGCATGGTTTTCTGTCTCTGACATGGCCCCAAGGGCATTAAGTGGTACAAGGGTATTACACCTCTCTTGTAAGACTACACAAAGCAGTGGAATCTTTCAGTAACCCTGGGTTCTAACATGTCCTCATTTTAATGAATGTGAATCTGTTATTCTCCTAATTAACAGCTATGGACTACACAGCGCCCTGGAAGAATAGAAGGGAGCTGAGATGTGGACCTTGTTGTGTAGCTTTGCTGTCTTGTTGACCCTCCCATTCCATGCAAGAAACTTGCATGGGAGAAAATCATTACTTTGATTTATTACCGGGGGCTTTATTTATTCAAATGCAATAATCACCTCACGGAGCAGGTGCCATTTCAAGGGTTTATTGATCCTATGCTCTTCTAGAAATTCCAGGAGGCCGACACTCTGCCCTGAGATAGAGATGGTCAACAAAAAAACCCTCCGTCTCCGAGCAGGATGAAGGGAAGTGGGAGGAAATCCCCTGCCACCGTTCTAACGCTCCAATGACACTCGGTGCCTTTCCGCACCACCCCCGCCCCCCCAAGAGGGGCTGGAGGAGAGAGAACGCTTAGAGGTTGCAGTGGGCAAGGGAGAGGGAGAGAGCACCGACAGAGAGCTGCCAAGGGGTCTAAGAGGCTGCATCCTTCAGGCGTGGAGAGAAAGGGTCTTCAGCTCCAGATCACGATTCCAAAGAGTTAAATTTTACCACGCAGCCCGATCTGGATGGGAGTTGCTTCTGGGTACAAAACGGGACACTGATCAAAATCAACTTGGACAAGTGACAAGCCTGAGTCTGATGTCGGTGGATGTCTTCTAAGGTCGTTGGAGGGGAGAGGACGGGAGGCAGTGTGCTCAGGGGTAGGTGGAGAGAAGCTTCGAGTCCAGGGCAGGGCTATAAAGGGACACGGAGTTGGCAAACAGGGAGACAAAACGAGTGGGGAAGAGAGAGAGGAAGAGTTGAAGAAAAGTAGGGGGAAGTGGGGACAGGGTTAGGGGAGAGAGGAGGATAGGAGAGAAAAGTGAGGGCGGCTGGGAGGGCTTAAAAGGGAAGGGGGATTGCTGGAGAGAAGGGCGGACGGCAGGCTCGGGAGGTGGAGAGGAGGCGAGGGGACCCAGCGGGTGGGGGGTGCCGAGAGGCAGGCGAGGGGCTGCGGAGGAGGAGGGGGGCTAGAAAGTGCGAGCGGCGCGGGGTGGGGGTGGGGGTGGGGGGCGGCGGGGAGCCGGGGCGCCGGGAGGGCGGTCGGAACCGAGCGGGCAAGCGGGGACCGGGAGCGAGCCGGGCCGGGAGCCGAGGGCGGGGAGGCCGCGGGAGGGAGGTGGGGGGCAGGTGCGGGAACGCGGGAGGGAGCGCGGAGGAGAGCGGAGGCCAAGCGCATTGTGTCTGGCAGCGGCGCGCGAGCCCACCGGCGGCTGCGGCGGGGCGGGAAGCCATGGAGCCGCGGGCGCTCGTCACGGCGCTCAGCCTCGGCCTCAGCCTCTGCTCCCTGGGGCTGCTCGTCACGGCCATCTTCACCGACCACTGGTACGAGACCGACCCCCGGCGCCACAAGGAGAGCTGCGAGCGCAGCCGCGCGGGCGCCGATCCCCCGGACCAGAAGAACCGCCTGATGCCGCTGTCGCACCTGCCGCTGCGGGACTCGCCCCCGCTGGGGCGCCGGCTGCTCCCGGGGGGCCCGGGGCGCGCCGACCCCGAGTCCTGGCGCTCGCTGTTGGGGCTCGGCGGGCTGGACGCCGAGTGCGGCCGGCCGCTCTTCGCCACCTACTCGGGCCTCTGGAGGAAGTGCTACTTCCTGGGCATCGACCGGGACATCGACACTCTCATCCTGAAAGGTGAGCGGCGGGTGCGCCCTGCGCCCTGGGCGCCCGCGCGGGGAGCGCAGCCCGCGGATCCCCAGGGGCGCGCCGGTCCCCGCGGCCACCTCCCCGCCGCGTCCCCGCGCTCCGCTCCCCGGCTCAGTCTTTCATCCTTCCCGGCCGCCTCCTTTCTTCATTTCTCTGCCTTTCTTGACCACCCCCTTCCTCCCTTCTCTCTCTTGCTCTTCTTTCTTTCCATGACTCTCTTCTTTCTTTCTCATCCTGCTCTCCCTCTCCTCCTTCCCTCAAGTCTGTGCTTTAGCCACCCCCCCCCCCCGCCCCATCTGCTTCTTTCCTTCCTTTGCCTCCTTTTCCCTTCTTCCTTTCCTCTCCCCTCGCCCTTCGCTGTCTTTGTACACCTGCCTGACTTGGAATGCAGGTGTAGATTTTTCTTGTCGCTGCTCCCCTACGGAGGGTAACAATAAAAAAGACCCGACCTTTCCCAACCGGGCACCTCTCAAGTTGTGCTTTCCTTTTAGAAATACCTTTGGAAGAAAAGTGGTGCAAGCCTCAGAAGAGGCGGAAAGGGGCTGTTTCTTGTATTGTTCTGATGTTGGCATTAGACGAAAGTGGTGTGGCCATCCCAGCCTGGCAGGCTAATGGGAAGCTAAGGAGGCCCCAGACCTTCTTCCCAACCCCAAAGTGCAGGGTTTCCTGTTGATTAGACCTCAGACTTCAGAGAGACCTCAATTCATTGGTGAGGCAGTTGAACACAGATAGGACATCTACTTTTTTCCAGCCTTCCTGGTCACTCCACAAACCATCCTCAGCGTCTAGGCACACCAGGGTGAGTGAGGGGAGGAGAGAACCTGCCCAAGCCCTTTGAAGTGCTTCTCTCTGGATTTGCGGGAGACTCTCATGTGTGTGATACCTTGTAAGGCTGCTTTTGTTGTGGTTGTGGTTTTGGTCCCGAGTTGTAGAGCATCAGTTTGCTCTTCTGGAATCTATGCAACACCTGGCTCCCATGCATGGTTAATCAGAAGTTTGATTTTTTTTTTTTTTTGGTAATCTCATTCATGTAAAAATATTCAAGTGACAACCCCATTGGTGAAGTTTCCTTCTAAGTTTCAGAGCTCCACTCTTAATATAAAAAACCCTTTCCCTTAGACTCATTATTGCAAAAAAAGAAAAAAAAAAGAAACAAGAAAAAGTCTAAAATCACTGCATTTTAGTATTTAGTAGCCATTTAGGAAAGTTAATGAACAGACTTATGTGGAATTACAGTGTGGAATGGGATTACATAGAAAGGAGGGGGTTAATAACGTTTTGGCCTTCAGAGTCTTGTTAGTTGGCATATTCTTCATTTCTCATACATGTCAACTTCCTCCTTCCCATGGCTAGCTCAGTTGGGGACTGCCATCTGAAATCTGTCTGTGCGTGGAAGGACTCCAGCGCTTTTGGGGGGATAAGACAGAGTAACCTTCCTTTGGGAGGTGTACCTTTTTCTTTCCTCTCCTAACTCACATCCAAATCTGATTTTACCTCATGAAGATGCTGCATAATTAATTCTGATAGTAGCATAGTACATGAACAAACTGTAAAAGCTGTATTTGGAGATTCACTTATGGAATGCTCATTTAGGCAAGGCAATTTTGAAAGCTAAGCAGTGTAGTCTGTCTTTGGAAATGACAGAGCTGCATTGCCTTACACTTTCTATGCCTAGGGTAATTGATTGCATGCAAATTGCATATAGAGGAATGCCTGAAACAGCAGGGCAGAGTCTAACCCACCAATGGGAGAGGCACCCCCACAGGATACTGCACATTCCCCACCGCTGGAAGTGCCCTGGCTAGCTGAGGTGCCCAGCTCTGAGGTAATCCAGGATCAAATAATCCTTAAGGTAAAGGGACTTTAGAGGTCATTGAATCCAATCTCCCACCTATTGTTCAAAATCCCATCTTCTATAGTCTTTCTGACCAATGTTTGTCCAGCCTAGCACTTCCATAAGATTCCTATACTAGTTAAAATCATTATATTTTTCTCATCATGAATGCAGTGTTTTAGATTAAAACAATATCAGCTTTGTGATAGTGATGGTGTTTAGCTAATCCTTCGTGCAGAACAGCAAAGGGTTCTAGGCTGTAACCAGAAGACATGGGCTCTGTAGCCTCCAAGAAGTGTCCAGACCTCACTGGCCTTCAGTTTTCTTGTCTATGGTACTGGGAAAGCTGACTCTTCTTTAGGGAATTTTCTAGTTCTAAAATTTAACATTGTTGTAATAATAACAGTGTAAATTTAGCTTTCTGGGAAGTTAATGAGCTGACATTATTACATGAGGGGTTTGGAGAAAATGACAGATATCAGTACATGATAGGATCATAATTTGTTGTTTGGGAGTTGGCCAAAAAATGCTTCAAGTACTTTTAACATTGTAATTAACCTACCTTGGGCTAGTTACATAACTCTTCTAGATCTCCGTTTCATTACCTATGAAATGAATAGGCAAAATGAACAGCCTTACAATTCTATAATTCTACACATGATTTGATTTTGGCCTCTGTATTAGGTAGACAGTATTACCTTTGTTCCGGCATCTGACGTCAGTGGCTGTGGTATGAATTTCTTAAATGAGTCATATGTATCTAGCGGTTGACATCACATCTAATTTAAAAATTTAGATAACTAGGGTCTTATGGTCTATTTTTACTTTCTTCTCCGAATTACATTGTTTATGAGTTTTAACATTTAGAAATTTTAATCATCAGAAATGAAGAAAAATAACCTCAGATGGGAGAGTGGGGTGAGGTGGGCAAGGGCCCCAGAACCACCTGGGGGTATTTAGTGAGCTTTTAAGAAAAAAAAGGATGAGCTGTTCTTCATAGGACTCAGAAGGCAAAGCCTGGAGGTGAGGAAAAGTTGCAGAGAAGAAAGTGTGAGTTGATAATATGGAAAGCCTTCTCACAGTTGGAATGATTTGCATCTCATGTTACTGGCGACTATTTCTGAGAGATGTAGTGGAGACAGAAACAGTCCATGTAAACAATGAGAGATTAGTTTAGAAATGAAATGTATAGACTATCTCTTCTTAATCTACTGAAGAGAAATCACATGAGCCAGAAAAGCATCCATCTCGATGGGACAAGTATTTGGGAAAAATCACCAAATTCTAATTGTCACCCTTCATTATGATTCTAGTTCACTTCTAGCCCAGAGTGACCCTAGAAGGTCTAGACTGGACCTCCAAGCAGGACCTTCAGTAAGAATGGTGGTCAAGTTATTGATAAATGCATTCAGAACCAAGACTAGAATCCTGTGCTACTCTACCAGGCTGACAAAGGACCATTCACCAGCACAGTTCGAATACATTTGTTTTTCCAGCTGCAAGTCCTCTTCCTAGCACTGCATTGACCAGTCCACATTTCACTCTCTTGCCCTTTGCGATAACCTGCAAAGGCTTTAGACAGATTAGGTTCCCACGATATTCCCATAGTTTACTATCCAGTGCAGTAAATGCCCATTGAAAGCCTATTATGTGCCAGGTCATGAGAAAGATGTGGCACGTGGGGTTCTTTTGTGTTTGAGTTGGTCAGTTGATTCTAAATTATTCTTCCAGGGTGCCTGGGTGGCTCAGATGGTTGAGCGTCTGCCTTCGGCTCAGGTCATGATCCCAGAGTCCTGGGATCGAGCCCGTGTGCCAGGTCATGAGGAAGATGTGGCACGTGGGGTTCTTTTGTGTTTGAGTTGGTCAGTTGATTCTAAATTATTCTTCCATATAGTTCCTTCTTGCAGCTAACTTTTGATGCTAAGGAAACTGTGCTAGTCACAGTGAGTACTGTATGCAAATGAAGGCATCCTCCGCTTAGCAATCAGAAGGACATAAAAGTTGAGAGAGCCTAGTTGCAGGAACTTGAGAGAATGGACCGAAAATGTAGAGCTTCGGGCCCCTCCGTGCCACTTGGACTGTTAGAGGTTTGAAAGAAACCTGTCCATGTAAAAGTTACAGAAAGCCAGTAGAGCAGATGGACATGGCATGGATTACGTAAGGAGCCCCCGAAATGAGAAGAGGTGACCTAAAGATAGGTTCTTCATTCATTCATTCATCTGATCCATTCACTCGACAAATACATATTGGGTGTCAGTCTTGCTCTAGATGTAGAGGATACAGGAGTGTATAAATGGATACAAATGTCTGTCCTCATACAGTTCATATCAAGTGGTGGAGTTATTTTCTAGTGGGTAGTGTAGGAACCACCCTTAGTAGGTTATGGGAAGAGCACGTGGGGAGGGCTGCTAGCACTGGTAGGCAAATGATGGAGGAGACAGTGCAAAGTGATGGAGTACTCTACCCTTTGGGGGATGCCGGCCCTTCTGTTCCAAGTACAGCTCTTATGTTTCAACTACTCTATGAACATTCAAATAGGAGGACAGATGGAAGGAGACTCAGTTTGAAACATTATATAATGCTTCTTTCGGTTACTGAAAACACTGATTTTAATAAATAAACATTGATGAGACTTGTGAATCCATTGCGTAGAACTTTGGAGAAATTAATTTTGAATGGGGATTAGTCATTGAAATTCTATCAAAAGTTCCAACTGTTCTTATTAGCCTTCACTTTAGTTTTCTAAATTTTTTTAATTAAAAATTTTTATTAAAAACAATTAACACTACATTTCAAATATATGTACCTTGTTGATGTAAATCAAATTCTAATATTACATATTGCCTGCAATAAACAAAAGGAAAATTAATGTTGCAGTGTTTTGTTTTTATGAAATTTAAAGGGGTAGAATTTCAGAAATATGAAGATGGTAATTCTGTATGCACAATGTTAACTTGTATAAATCATTTGGGATTGAATTCTTGAAACTTGAAATAAAACGTGTCCTTGTGGTTTCAGAAGCATTTTTCATCTAATGAGATAAACAGAGATATCAAAGACAGTGGGACACATATACTTTGTCATTTTGTTCTCTGCAAGAGAAAGACAGTAGGAAAATTGGTAGGAATTCATTGGATCTGTTCTTCACTCTGCT